GACGAGAAGAGAGAGGAGACAGGAGAGAGAGGAGAGGAGAGTATGAGGGCTGTGTCCGCCCGTAGGTGAAGGTATCCACCTCCTTTCAAGGAGCGAGTCTGAAGAAGGGGGGAAACAGCGCTTCAGGCCTGGAATATAACGTGATCAGGAATGAATCTGTGTGTGCGTTTCGAACGAGTACAGATCAAGATCATCACAAAAATTATAATATGAACTCAGGTCGGATTATGCTGCTCGAGATTATTGGTGGAATGCTGATTAAATTCAAGGAAAACTGAATTCTTATTTAAAAGATGCTACTTATATGGTATACAGTAGTGATGCATAACAAAATGGCAAATACAAGCTAGCCTCTCAACTATAGTGCTCAAGTGAAAAATACCATCTCTGCTGCCCATTGGCATCAGAGCGGAGTGTCAACCCGCATGACTAGGGATTGAATCAGACCTCATCCAGCAATGAAATCTCGCGAGACCAACTGGCATTTTAGCCTGGCAACTGGAGTGGGGGTGAGATGTAGGAAGGTAGGGCTGCAACTGCCATAATTGCAAACCTTATTAATCGAGGTAGAATGTAAAAATGTTAAATAGACTAATTAAAATAGCAATTTAGTCGTCCTAGATGGCCTTAGAGTGATTTAAGGCGTAACTTGGAATTTTTCTCCCAAAATCACATGAGTATGAATCACAACGTCGTTGAATTTCACTCAGCTTTGCCTCTCAATAGCTCATCTCATACAGACTGGGGTGGACTGCGATCTCGACTTAGTCCGAACTGGTCTCAGCGGTACACCAAATGAGACGTAATAGTCGAAAGCGTCGTGGCAACTTTGTTATTCCAAAATTGCTGTTAGTTTAGACAGCTAATCATGTGGAAATAAAATGGGATCGTCGATTGCAATGGCAAACAAGTGTTTGCTTTAATCGACTACCCAACCATAAAATGTGAATCGCAACTGCCGTAAAGTCGAATTATAAGTTGAATTAAAATGAAAAAGTAGCATCGAAATGCTTAAAATACGCCGTGACATTATCTACAGTTAGCCAGGCTCGGTTTGCGGCCTACTAACCTCCTCGACAGTCCTGTGGGACTACTCAAATATGCGACTAGTAATGAAGCCAATTTTGTCTAAAAATCGAGTGTCAACATCTGCTAACTGTTTGCGATGAGTACAAATGGACCAATTCGAGAATCGAAATGAGGCAGACGAAAAACTCTCGGCTAGCCTACGATACTAAACCCATGTTCACTATGGCACACTATGCTTTCTGGTTTAGTTTGTCCGAGGCTTCAATCAAATGATGGTACAAAATACACCCAGTCAATCTAGTTTGCTGGCTGATAGATCGCAGTTAGGTGGCCTGAGTTAAAGAAACACATATCAATACACAAATGTATGTCCCGATCATTAGCGCAATCGCTACCACGGTTTCCACACTTGCTACTGTGGGCATAAAACTGGCCAAAGTTGTTGGTGCAGTTTTCGCCAGATAGTTGAACTATGCCTTCATGCTCTGATGACTCGATAATACAAATATTCACATTTAATTGCTCTGTTTAAAAAGGCCAGACAAGCTATTACTATTAGTTGCAGAGAAGGTATATTTCTGAGATTATCAGTAAATCGTAACTACGAGTTCCAGTCAGCCTAGGTTGAATAAGATTGACGCTCGCAATGAATGAATCTCAATTTGCCTTTGTTCCAGAAAGGTATTCGCATCTTGGCTGACTCAAGTTTCAACTTCGCCTGGTTACTGACAACACCTACAGCTATAGCATGGAAGAGCGGTAGCATGTCGAAATGAGATACTACACTAGCCGGGTTCGAGTTCCTCTCGCTTGGAATGTTGATGCGACCAGTTTGGGCGAGGCCGAAATTGAAGCCCAGTCATGTCAGGCCGGAATGGAAATACATTTAGTTATCATGGCCAATTAAAATGAAATGACATTTTAAGACTTATTCAACCTTAATGTGGGAAAAAGTGAACTAGGAAGACATCTTCCATAGCACATGTTAAAGTGGGAGTTTCAATGAAGAAAAATTACATTTGATCAACCATATTACTTAATTCTAGTGCGAGTAGGCTGTTGAGAATAAAAAAAATTTAATAATGTCATGTAAACAACTATCAGCTATTCAACAGCCTAACCAAAACTGTACTTACAATTTTAAAAACTACTTACTATGAACGTAAGTAGTGTAGTCGACTTCGAGGGCAAAATACAAGTAAGCAGCATCGACAACCTAGCAACGAAATGTGATACGGGAAAAGCAGGGCTTTCGTTTAAAGTCAGTCACGTCTGTCGCGTGATTGTCGGGCACTCGTGGCTGTGTGTGACGTAGTGGTGTGTTATGCCAAAATATGCCGTGTACTTGAATCACCCGAGTTCGACTACCGTTGCAGATGATGACGAGGTCGAGGCGGAGTGACGTAGCAAAATAAAGTGAAATTCGATAGAAACCGGAGATCCGCTCAGTCACTACTTTATGCAAGCAAGGCTGACTGGCGGATAGTCGCGAAGTCTACCTTCTATGAAAGGTAGAACTTGTGAAAGCCAAGTGAGAAGATGGAGGATATCGATAAAAAGTGGTTTCGAGAGGAAACTGTTGAGCTAGGATTGTGGTGCATACTTTCATCGTGTATGAAAGTGCATGATGAGAAGAATCGTCGGTTCGTCTCATACAGAGACGACGACCGAGTCTCGTTCCCATGCCAACATCTGACATAATATGAGCAATCAGTTTGACATAATTGACGTGTCACACACCCTCACACACACACATAAACCGAAACACAAACACATCCATCCATTCATCCAGTTATCTATCATCAAATGCATACATAGACACATAGACACATACAACCGTACAATCATACAATCGTACAGCACACACATGCATACATACATATATACATACGCATGCATAGATGCAGCAATCAAATCATAAGACTGGTTAGAGCTAGTGTTCGCAAATTAGCCCTTGTCCGCAATCGTCCGGAATCCTCTGCCTGAACAGTCATGAGCATGTCCGGCTTCGGTCCGTGAACTTGGCACATTGCCACACATCTCACCGGCATCGCGGACACACCGTTTTGGTATTGCAACTTGGAGCAAGCAAATTGTCTTGTATTTCTGCATGTATACATAATGAATGTAGGATAGGCTCGCACAGAACTGGGCATCGTGTGCAGAATAACGTCAAGGCAACAGCGGATCAAGAAGACAACTATTTCAACTGGATCTGCCGTGAGAGATCAAAAAGATTATCCTTAAAGAGATAAACGGGATCGGCTAAATCGCTCCTCACCTCCGACTCACTATGCATGCATGTATGTGTGTGTGTGTGTGTGTTTATGTGTGTGCAAAGTCACCAGTTGTCGTTGCGAGCGGCCGGAGAGGATGAAACATGTGTCCCTGAAGGCCGTCTATGACGGTGAAATGGCCCATTGCGAGGAGCCGTCGTGTGGACGCCGGCCAATCAGTGCACCGCTTTCCGGCTGGACCCATTCGCCAATCCCGTTCCTGCCAACTGCGGCGTCAGAATGCAAATCCGAGTCACAAAGCAAACAACAAGCTAGACGAGAACTAACCCCCGGCTGCCGGGAAGAATTGGAGGATGGTATATTTATTTGTACAAGTAGAAAAGTAGGTTGGCAAATTGATGGAATGTTTCGTTTATAAGCAGGTTTTCGAGACATTTCATATATTTATGTATATATGCATGAAATTATGGATATAAAATAAACGATCATAGACGGATTGATGGATAGATTAATAGAATAAGATCGACCGATGGTTAGATATACCGCTAAAATGATAAAGACAAAAGAAAAAAGAAGGATAGAAGGAAATGAGGAAAGGAAGAGAGTAAAGAAGAAAGAAAGTTTTATGTATGAAGAGAGAGAGAGAGAGAGACTCATCAAGGCGTAAACCGAATCCACGCAACCAAGTGTTGCTCTGAAAGTAAAATGTGGCCCAAAAACGGAAGCATGACAACGAAAAAGCAAGTCGTGGGCTTCGAATGAGCCGTTTTTTGTCAGTTTCGTGCTCTGGCGAATTCGTTCGTAACTGACGTCTTCTGAGCAAAAGTGCAAGCTTGCCGGTCGGGGCCTGGCTGGGTCGAAACGGGTTTCCAAGTTGGCCTGAGCCCAAGTCCGAGTCCAGGTCCGGGTCGTGGAAGTGGGGAGAGGCTGGAGGCAATCGAGAAGGAGGGGGACAGGCCTCGAGAGATGCGCCAATCAGCGGCCGCCAGTGGCGAAGCAGGCGCCGGGGATTGGCGTAGTGTGTTGGTGTGTTGGTGAGTTGAGTTGTTTGGTGCGACGTGATGTGGGGCTGTTAGTGAGGTGTGGTGCGATCAGTTTTGTCGTGTTGTCTGGTGGTGTGGGCTGATGTGCTGCGGGTTGTGTGGTATGGTGCAGTGTGTAATGTGGTGTGGTGTTGTCTGGTGTGGCGTAGAGAAGCAGGAACAGGATGAACAGGCCGATTGTCTGGACGACGGAGAGCGACAAGCAATTAATCAAAGACGTCAATCCGCCAGAAAATAGCGCCACGGAGACATCGATTTGACGCCCAGGCCCGTGTCTCCTCGTCGCAACGTGTTTGGACGAGTCGGTAGGTCGGTCGGTAGGTTCGTTTGACCCAACAACGCACAAGTCAGCGGCCAGCCAAAATGTCAAAATGTACAAACAGCTCTAACTGCGCGCTTGTACACAAACCCCTCTCGGCAGACGCATCTTCGGCCTCTTTCCGGTTGTCGTCACCAGTTATCGTCGTCGAGTGTTGCCACCGCCAGATCCGCGATTGAAACTAATATTGAGATTGCGATTGCGATTGATTGGAATTACGATTACAATTGCGATCACGATTGCTATGGAGATTGCGGAATTGCGAAATTGCGAAATTGCAAGATTGGGATCGGGATTGAGAGCCTGGCTGGAGATGTCTACAATCCTGTCCACATCCGGCTCCGATCAGACAGACACTTTGATCTGCCGATATGTTCGTTGATGGGTCTGCAAGTCTGAGATGGTTTGTCGGTTTGACGGTCTGTCGAGCAATCGGCTCGCTTGTCTGTCGGTGTGTAGGTGAGCTGCTTTGTCAGTTTGCCGGTCTGTCAATCGGTTGCCATTGTGACAGGAGTAGCCACTTGAAAGGGAAAGTGGGTTGGAAGGAATGCGTCATGTGGTGGCACCGGAAACCGAACGAGAATTGTGCGAACAAGCCGAAGGCTCATCGTCCCGCGACCTCGATGCGGCTGTGCGAAGCCGTCGACTGTACCGCCGTGACAGACATGATCAGAGCAAGAGTGAAAACTTTACGAAACAGAGCAAAAATAGAGTAAATCGAGAGAAAAAAGATGGCCGGCTGCAGCCCTAGTCGCTTTTTCTTCCCACTCCGAACATCGCGAGGTTAATGAGGCCGCTCATGATTTGGTTGTCTACTTCAACCTTCCGCCACACGCTTGCAAATGAGTGAAGTTGACTTCCCGAACCGGAAATGCGTTCGGTGGCAGCTGTTTCATTGCACACAAAAACCAACATTGTACCATTGCCTATTGTGCGTATCTACTGCTCATGTCATGAGTAGTATGATAGTCACTAACTATTTTCTTAATTTACATAGACTCCCTAAAGCGCAGGCTTTGACGTAAAGTGCCTCAAAACAGGAAAACTTTGTATTTTTGATCAGTCTTGTATCCACAATGTGCTTAGCGAGATCAGATTACTCGACCCAAAG